CTTTCCCTTGTTCAGCTCTCACATCTCCCCTCTGCCAGCTCCTAGCCCTGCCTCTTTGGGATGGGCAGCAGTGGGTGGGTGAGCAGCAGTAGTGATCAGGCCAGGATTTCTGGACATGGGCTAGAGAGGGAAGAAGGGGTTTGGACTTAAGATAGATGAGACTGTTGGCCACCTGGCTCTATTCCAGCACACAACATTAGAGTATCTGCCTCTAAGGAGGAGCAAAAGGGGCTGAATAGCTCCTATGTAAAACATGAGAAATGGCTTTTGGGAGAGGTGCATCGGTAATGTTAGATTCATTTAGAAACCTCAAAGAAAGACTCTGCCCAGGAGGGACAGTGAAGGGACACATTGAACCTAAATCATGGGGTGCTGTTACAAGAGCGCTGTTCCTGCCTACAGCATGAAATTCTTGGTTTATTCTTGAAATAACAGTTCAACCTTTTTGCAATCATCTTTGCCTCATTATCTCTATTGTTCTGATGGAAAATTTAATTTGTGGTTAGCTAGGAGATGTACTCTAGATAAATCTAGGGAGGTTCATACCAAGAGGTAAACAGAGAACTGGAATTCAGCATCACATCTGTGTTATCCAGTCAGCAGAAAGTCAGATATAACAGAAGTCATAAATTTAAACTGTATCAAGGGTGATGGAGATCTATGCAAATGAATAAGTGCAATAAAAGAATCTTCAGCTGAAAATGCCTCACTGAAAGTAAGCTGCCTGACACAGTTTTCTTTATTCAATGTTGCAGCGACAACTTTGCTGGAGAAAAGACACTGGTATCCAGGCAACACTGGTAATAGCAGAGCTACCTAGGTTTAGAAAAGAGAGAGGACAAAAACCAGGAAAGAAGCAGCAGCAACCCCAGATAGTGCGGGAATTAATTACCGCTCTGTCTCCCTGCTGTCGTAGCGCTCCCAAACTCTACCACAGCCCACCCACCTAGGCAGTCACTATCACAGCAAAGACCTGTTGCTTAATGAACTGATGCCTCAGTGATTTTTTTTTTTTTTTTTTTGAGTACCCCCTTGTCTGGGCTCTCTGCAGTCAGCAGAGATCTAGTAAATGCAATTTAGGGTTCAATCCCAGTGTTGGCATCCAATCTGGGGTGAGATGAGTTATGCCCAAAATTCCACTGCCTACTTCTCTGGAGATGACAAACAGCAGCTTGGGGGGGGATCACAATCTCTGAGGCTGGCAGTGGGCACAGGGAGGCACTGGAATGCATCCAGACAATGAAACTTCTCACTCAGCCTGTCATCCACTTCAATAATGCATTCAAATGTGGCAAGCTCTTTCTCCAGAGATATATGGTAATGCACAAGAGATCATCAGCTTAACAGAAAGTATGTATAATTAATGCTCTTTATGATGTGTAATATGTAGAGGAATCTAAAAATAGGATATGTTTTAAGAACACATGTTAGGCCATCTGGGATTGGAGGAAAAACTGAAGTAGGGGGGGAGATGCAACACCAAGGTGAGGAGAGTGAGACCCAGGAGAGACTCTGAACACAAAAGACAACTGTCCCTGTGGATAAACCACCAACACTGAGTATTCATTCAAGTGAAGAAGAAAAGCAAATGGGGTAAATCTAAGCAAAGAAGCAGAGAACAGTTACACAGACCTGATGAGATGCTAGAGGACATACATGACTGATCAGAAGCCTGGCAAACTCTGGCTATTACCTTCAGGGCTGAATTTTAAGCAAGTTACAGTAGCACAGCCAAGAGAGCACCTTGTTATTACACACTGGCTAGCACAATATTTTAATTTTATTTGTATTTTGTTAATTTTCTAGGTTTTGGGCTCCGTAAGTTCGACTTTTAAATAGTCTTTTATGTTCTTCAATTTTCAGGGTGAGTTTGAACCAGGTTAAATCAAAGAAACCAAGGTCAGATCATCTTGATGCAGACAGTGGCTCACTAGGAACGATGGGCCAGAGGAAAAGGTGTTTTAAGGGAGCCTGTGAGCCCCAGGAGCACAGGCTGACGTTTGCTCATTTTGCCTTCTGCTAGCTTTGCAGTTTTCCCTGGCGAGCAAGACAAATGACAGGCACCAAAGCGTACGCCAGGATCCCAGTGAGAAATGGCCCTCACAGCTGCTCTGCCCCTCTTCCTTAACTCCTTTGGGCTTTGGCTCACAGTCTCAAGTCCATTTAGTTGCTTAAGACATTAACTCCTCCAGAAAAGGCAGTTTAAAGACAATATGCCAGATGGCCAACACGTTCCCTCCACCATCTCCTCTCTGCCTGGTGGCCTCCAAGCTGACCCTGCTGTGAGCAGGAGGTTGGGTTGGGGACTTCCTGAGGTCCCGTCCAACCTGAGTTATCCTAGGACTCTGTGAACCCTTGGCAGAAGAGTAAGTGGGCATCCAGAGGCCACAGCTAAGCCTACCAGATATTTGAGTTAAAGCCCTTACTGCATCCCAAATTCAGCTCCTAAATGGAGCCCTGCTGAAACCCCTGTGTTCAGCTCCCCATGCTCTCTGCTCCCTTCTCACCATCCCTCAGACCACAGGCGAGGTGCTTCCCATCTACCCACCTCTCCTCCTCACTACCAGTGATGTTACACCCTCACACTTTCCTCCTAGCCTGCTTCCCATTCACCATGATTTTGTCCCATCACCACAGCAAGAGTTCAACTTCCTACCACCCAGCCCCGATTTTCCCTTCCCACGCCAGGGTCCTCTTGTTCCCCCTCTGTCACAGAAGCTGTGTACCTCCTCCTCCTACACCATTATATTGATGTGGGAAATAAATCACTGAACTTTATGTTCAACTCTACGGATGAATAGATCGAGGAACTTGGGCAATTGCTGTGCTGAAAAGTATTAATATATCTTTGCAACTGTTCATTTGTGCCTGTTTTCTTTAAAAAAGCTATAGACAGTTATAGAGATTGAGATCTGTCAGAGTGAGGAATAGTCTCTATTTTTTTTTAAATTGTTCCACAATAAAATATAACAATACCAAAATGCAGACAAAAAATTGTGTCAAAGTGTAAGTTGGCAACAGCTTGGTGACAAAACAAGGCTCATTGTTCTGAAGCCTCATTGGTTTTGAACCACTGGTTTTAGCAATACAGCACATGCACAACTCTAAGCCCAAATTGTCAGCCTGTAAGTCATTGAAGTAAAGACTGCATCCTTGGTCATCTGAGCAGACTTGTATACTTTTGGGTGAATCAGAACATTTTTAGCTTTTTAACTACTTATTAAGGTAAAACTTTCAAAACTAGGCCCAGATCCTACTCCCACTGAAAGTGGTGGCAGATAGCCTGCTAGATTAAAAGAAGGGCAGAAAATCTGGAAGATGATCTGTTAAGGATTAAACATTACAGAACCAATACATCCTAAGGAAATCCTTGAGTTCATTTCATGCCTTAATTGTGTCATGCTTGTATTAAATTGAGAAGTAAATAGGTCCTGTAAAATATCTGTATCTATATGATAGAGCCTTTCCGACAGCTCATGAAACTCTTCATTTGGAAATTAGTATTTCATATGAAAAATATTATGACTTGGCACTACATCAAAATCATGATAAATAAAAACTATTGGGTAGAAAATGGGGAAAAAAGAGTTTGTTCAGGAGCTTAATTTCTATGCTGAAACAACTTCATCTTCTCATACATCAGCATAAAACAGGCTGGTTTTTATTCATTATTGACTGAATACATATTCAGTGCAGCATGTGAATTTCAATTTAAATTAAAAAAAATGGTAGAAAATGTCCATTTTCTGCATGATATGCAGTGAAGTGTCTTAAGGGAGGGCTGTAATGATGCTACACATAGCTTAGTCAGCTGCTCACTCTCTTAGGAGAGTGATCGTTTACAATTCTCTCCATATGTAGGTTTTCTCCAGCACAAATAGAAACAGAGTAGTGTGATATGTAGGTTCTGCCACTAGCAGACACTGAATGGTGAGAACCCAGCTCACAAAACAACTCCTCTGCCTCCTACACATGAAAGCTTCAGTTAGGATTGTTTCTTGTTTGTTTCTTTTAGAAAGCGCTAATACCCAACAGGAAAATTTAAAGATAGAAAACACGTACTGATCTGTAGAGTTTATTTTCTGTATTTTGTCCAATCCAACCTTAAAAAACTCATATGAAAAAGAGTGTCCATCACTTATTTTTTCCTACCCAAAACTATTTCACAAATAAATACATTTCATTATTAAGTTGCTTTCCTGGTACTGGGGCTATTTATGAATCTCATCTTTTTACCTCTATTTTTATTGTCAGGTCTTAAACTAAATAATTCCTTTCATAATTGT